AAGGCGAGCGCTCTACCACTTGAGCTACAGCGCCACTTCCGGTTTTCTGGTGGTTTATTGGAGATAGGAGTCTCACAGTCTCTCCTGCCCAGGCTGGCTTTGAACTGCAATCCTCAGATCTCAGCCTCCTGAGTAGCTAGGATTACAGGCGTGAGCCACCAGCGCCCGGCTGTGAGACTGTTATCTCCAATAAACCACCAGAAAACTGGAAGTGGTGATGTGGCTCAAGTGTTAGAGCGCTTGCCTTGAGCTGAAGAGCTGAGGGACAGCGCCCAGGCCCAGAGTTTAAGCCTTATGACCGACCAAAAGAAAAAAAAAAAGAGTGGCTCATATATTTGGCCAGAACCACCTTCTACCTGGTCTGAGTGCCATGGAAGCAAGGTCAGACACTGAGGTTTGAATCCTGGTCCCAATCTTGACCAAAGGATGGAACCAAGAGCAATGAGTGTAACTCTCTAAACCACAATCTTGTCATCTGAAAAATTAGGGTGGTGACAATTCCTATTTGCACAAATTCATTTGTTCAACAAGTATTTGAGCTGGTCACCAGTGGCTCACGCCTGTAATCCTAGCTACTCAGGAGGCTGAGATCTGAGGATTGCAGTTCAAAGCCAGCCCGGGCAGGAAAGACCATGAGACGTCTATCTCAAATAAACCACTAGAAAACCAGAAGTGGCGCTGTAACTCAAGCGGTAGAGCACTCGCCTTGAGCTGAAGAGCTAAGGGACAGCGCCCAAGCCCAGAGTTCAAGCCCCATGACCGACAAAAAAAAAAAGTATTTGAGAACCTATTATTATGTAGCAGGTACTAGGAATACAGGAAGGGATAAAGCTGGTAAAAATTTCTGTCCTCGTGAAGCTCACTCATTCTCCAATGAAAGAATGAGCCATAAAAACAAGACAGGAGTTGGGCGCCTAGAGGTTCACGCCTATAACCCTAGCTACTAAAGAGATCTGAGGACTAGGATTCAAAGCCAGCCTGGAGAGGAAAGTCCCTGAGAATCTCATCTCCAATTGACCATAAAAGAGCCAGAAGTGGAGCTGTGGCTCAAGTGGTAGAGCAAGTGGTTCAAGCCCCAAGACTGGCACAAGAAAGAAAAGAAAGGAAAAGAAGCTGGTACCAGTAAGAAAGAAAGAAATGAAGAAAGAAAGAAGCTGGATACCAGTGTCTCATGCCTGTAATCTTAGCTACTCAGGAAGTCATCCCAGAAAAATCTAAGAGATGGTTATTTCCAATTAACCAGCGAAGAAGAGGAGGAAGACAACGAAGGAGAAGAGGAAGGGGAGGAAGAGAAAGAGGAGGAGGAACGGCAGAAGCAGCAGCAGCCAGAACTGGAAGTGTGGTTGGTTTAAGTAGGAGAGTCCCATGAGTGAAAACGCTGAGTGAGAGCCTTAGTACCCTTCCCCATACACACACAAATAAAAAATAAAAATAAGCCGGGAGGCTGGGAATGGGGCTTAGTGGCTGAGTGCTTGCCTAGCATGCATGAAACCCTGGGTTCAACTCCTCAGTACCACATAAAAAGAAAAAACCAGAAGTGGTGCTGTGGCTTAAGTGGTAGAGCACTAGCCTTGAGCACAAAGAGCTCAACTGTGTTCAGGCCCTGAGTTCAAGCCCCAGACCTAAATAAATAAACAAATAAATAATAAAAATAATAACCACAAGATACAGATATATACCTGAAATTAGGAGCCTAAGACCTGGTGGATCAAGTTTCAATTAACCAGCAAAATAGCTGACTAGAGGTATGGATCAAGTGGTAGAGCACTAGCTCTGAACAAAAAAGCTGAACATGAGCAGGAGGTCCTGAGTTCAAGCTCTAGTATCAGTACAAAACAAACAAAAAAGAAGATCCATAGGTACACTATTTGGTGTTTGATGATGAGAGCCATTACAGTGACAAATGAAGTAAGAAAAGAGGTGGGCAGTTCAGAAATGGCCTCAATGAGGAAATGACACATAAGCAGGGGCCTGAAAAGGGTGAGTGAACTAGCCAGATAGATATCTGAATATAACGAGAAATAGCAACACACACACACACACACACACACACACATATGAGGTGCAGTGCCCATTTTCTAGAATGTGGGTCATAGAGAGTCTGAATGACTTGCTGAAGATCATGTGGGAGGGTTGGTGACTCATGCCTGTAATCCTAGCTATTCAGAAGACTGACAATTAGCAAAAAGCTGTAAGTGGGGCTGTGGATCAAGTGATAGTGTACCAGTTTTGAGCAAAAAGCTAAGGGACTGTACCCAGGCCCTGAATTTAAGCCCCAATACATACATGTACACGTACACATACATGTATGTGTGCTCACATGTGCCCACATAGGTGGGCCTTGGAAGTCTACATATTCACCCCAGGTGAACATGCTACCACCAGGACACCAACTCCAGGAGTACACAAATCTTTGGCCTGTTCTCTGCTTCCATGCCAGCTCTGGCATAGTAGGCCAGCGTTTAAGGAAGGAGAGCTCCCCTCCAGGCACTAGGCCAGGTAAAATGACCTGCAGGAAATCACCTCTCCTGCAGAAGGTGTGATGAGGTGGGATCAATTCGCCCAGCAATCTTTGGGAGTCCCCAGTACAAAAGAAGGAAGGAACTGAGAAGCAGGGGGAAGGGGGGCGCCCACCCACAAAACCAATCGGTGCCTAGAAGCCACGGAAGGTTATCTACCTGCCTGCTAAAGACCAAAGGCCAGTTCCTCATTGTGTGGACAGATCTTTTGAAACCAAATAAGCCAAAGGGCACACCGAGGGAGATGGAGCACTGGACCCGAAGGAGAGAGTCAGATGCTGGCTGGCATAGGAGGCAGTCAAACCAAGAACCCATGCAGCGGGGTCCCTGGGCAAGCGCTCGGATCGCAAAATCCAGCCCTCCAGGCGCACAGACGGTGGGCACGGAGCCCCACAGACAGACAAGGGCTGCTCAAGGGCACCCGGCGCCAAGCCGGCCTCAGCCGGGCCCGTCCATCACCCCGGCCCGGCCCCGAAGCCTAACTCACACAACCCCGTTTCGGAAGCCTTTAACCACGGCCAAGGCGGCATGGTAGCGGCGTTGGCGCAGCAAGGCGTTGACGGCCTGGAGCAGAGCCTGCAGCTGCGATGGAGTGGCCATAACACCAGAGGAATGTAGGACTCGGCGACCCGACCGGACCAGCACTGACAGCCCGAGCTTCTGGCTGCGCAGCACCGGGGCACCCGGTAGCGTCTCTGCGTCGTTGTATCTGTAGGTTGAATCTGCCGTCACTCACACACAAAGAGCCAATCGCAGAGAAGACTTGGGCGGCGCTCACTCTTGAGAACACATGATTGGGAGACAGAGGAGAGGTAGTAACCAATCACAGTGACTAGGCCTTTCGGTAAGGGCTCACGCCAGGATCCATCCAATCAGAAGGCTTTTTGTTTTCCTTTGGTAAAGGTTCGGGTTCACCTTCTGGCTTGGAAAGAGGCGTGTCACCAGTGGGGCAGCGGGGGAGGTGAGCTGCCCTCCTAGAGCTGAGATGGGTAGTTTGGGGGTGGTGACATTGGGAGGAACCAGTATTTACCTTTAAACCTGACATTTGGGACTAAGTAGTTGGGACCACAGTCAATCTCAGGGCATAAATGGCATAATACCCTCCACCGCTTCCAGCTATTTTGTTTTAAATATAATTTTACAATGAGACAAGAGGAGAATATTCTTAGGGGAGGAACACAAAGGTACAATGCCTATGTGCATCTGATCATATAAAGCAATATTTATCGCAATGAACTCCAGGAAATAGAAACAAGAGGGTTTTGTTGCTGCTGTTACTTTGTTTTCTTTTCTTTTTGTCTTATCTGGTCATTTATTTGTTTTTGACAGGGTAAAGGAGGAGCACAGAAATGGAGGGACAAAGGATGAACAAATGCAGCAGTGATACTTAATAGACACTATATAGAAAACTTGTGAGTGGGGGGCTGGGAATGTGGCTTAGGAAGCCCTGGGTTCAATTCTTCAGTACCACATAAAAAGAAAAAGCTAGAAGTGGCTCTGTGGCTCAAGTGGTAGAGTGTTGGTCTTAAGCAAAAAGAGCTCAGGGACAGTGCCCAGGCCCTGAGTTCAAACCCTGGGACTGGCAAAAACAAAAAATAAAAAGTGAGAGAGAGTGAGGGAAGGGATGACATTGGCCAAAAAGAAATGTACTCATTACCTGACTTTTATAACTGTAACCCCTCTGTATGTCACCCTTATAATAATGATAAGAAATAAAAATATAATTTTATTGTCATTACTGAGCACAATTCTTTTTGGACAATGTCACCCCTTCCTTTGTTTTCTTCAAGTTGTCTTCCAGCTATTCTTACCCCAGGCCCACTGTAGGACTTTGGCCCCTGCCTCCCGCCCTCACTAATCCACTACCTCAATCCTCTCCACTCAAAAGACTGGCCTCCTTTCTTTTCCGTGAGCAGGCCAATAATTCTGCCCCAGGTCTTTAACATTTGCCAATTAACCTTCTAGTTTTATTTCACATACCACCTACTCTTGAGAGGTCTTCTTATTGAAAGCAGCACTCTGACTCATTAACCTGTTTTGATTTCCTCATAGATCTTTTCACACTTTGACATTGTTTGCTATCATGCTCAATGTTAAGAAACTGAGTCATGAGAGAAAGAGAGAGCAGAAGAAAATCCACACTAAGAAGTCACGAAGCAGGAGTCTTTATTAGAAAGCAAACTATGGCAAACTGACTAGTGTCCAAAGAAACCCGCAGTGCTGAATGTTGTTAGCTTAAACCTTATACTGTACAGGCAAAAACAACATCAAGGCAGATGCCACATGGTACAGGGATAGGCAAAGCAGAAGCAAAATTGTTATATAGGAATTCGATCATGAGATACAGAGAAAACACATTTTGAGAGGTCAGGAGTCTTTATTAGAAAGCCAGGGACTACATGTAGACACATGTCCCCCCAAAACATGAAGCCTTGAACACAGTTAATACTGTTAGAAAACTAAGCCATGTGGGTAACAAAGAAAGAGCAGAAAAACAATCTCAACAAATATGATCAAATCTAATGGAGAGCTGAAGAGGGACACGATGGTGCCCTGGGGAGAGTTGGGAGATACAAGACACAGTGCAAAATGGTGCCCAAGCTGGCTGGTTCTTAACTTGGGCCATGGTCAGGGACAGGGTCACAGGGAGCTCGAAAGTTCAAAGAGTGGGCTGGGAAGGTGGCTCAGTGGTAGAGTGCTTGCCTTGCATGTATGAGGCCCTGGGTTCGATTCCTCAGCACCACATAAGCAGAAAAGGCCAGAAGTGGCAGTGTGCTCAATGGTAGAGCTCTAGTTCAGGCCCCATGACCGACAAAAAAAGAAAGAAAAGAAAGAAAGTCTTGCAAGGTCAAGGCACCAGACTGGCATGTTCAGGAACCTATTGTCCAAGTCCCCTGCCCCCTGACTCTTGGAATTCAGGCATACTCCTCATCTGGGGGTGAGACTTTACCTTTGTCTACCAAGAAGCCCAGATGGCACCAATTAGACTCAATATCCTTATTTCAAAATAATCCAGTTATGAATTAACAAAGGGGGCAGTTAGGGTTAGTTCGTTAGAAGTTAACTGATGGGGACAATCAGGAGTAGAGATTTACCAGAATCCAACATTCTTAACGATGAGGGGTAAAGGATAGGGATTTCCTGGAGTCTAACAATCCATGACACATTTGCAGTTCTCAGAAAGACCTATGACCCATTGATAGTTCTCAGAATTGAGTGAAATGTTCTTGATACCTATTAAGGCATTAAAATGGCAGAGGGGACAAGATGGCATTGCTTAGGCTCAGTATCCATAGTTCACTTGGACTACACCTGATTTGTTAGTCCTGTAAAAAGGCACAAAGTCCCCCTTGTGCAGCAAGGAGTAAGTCAAGCCCACATCTATTTTGGAAGACAGCTGTGACCCTGCCAGTGAGTGGAGGTATTGTAAGTTTAGGGCTGGTTGGGTAAGGGCTATAACATCCCGTGACCTGCTGGGTCAGCCTCTGGTACTGGACCTGTGATATTGTGACATTCCAATACCAGTGACACTAAGAACTGTGCCTGATGTGGCTAGTTGATCCACAATGAGAGGGATGGCAATAGCAGGGGATTTCCAAGAACATGAGGAGGCCTCCAGATGAGTGAAGCTGCTTCTCTAGGGAGGATTGTGAGGTCAGGCAAAAGGCTGACAGGTGGAAGGGCCGGTTGGTAGGAATGACACAAGAGAACACACCTTGGTCATAAGCCAGAAAAGTTACATTTGGAGTATAGTATCTAACCTCACTGGTTCACTCAGCCAATCTTGGAACTTGTCAGTTCCTATACATACATGAACCAGTTTGTTATAAACTACATATACAGGGCTGGGAATGTGCCTTAGTGGTAGAGTGCTTGCCCAGCATGCATGAAGCCCCACGTTTGATTTCTCAGTACTACATAAACAGAAACAGCCAGAAATGGCATTGTGACTCAAGAGGTGGAGTGCTAGCCTTGAGCAAAAGAATCTCAGCGACAGTTCCCAGGCCCTGAGTTCAAGAACCAGGACTGGCAAAATAAAATAAAATAAAGTGTGTATTCGCACTCTGTTGGCTTTGTCACTAGAGTGAAATGCCCAACTTCCCCCTGACCCAGTTATACAGTGAAGGGCCATGAAGAGTTTCAAGATAAAGGAGAAGTCTGGAGCTAAAGAGAAAAGATATACCTGGAGCAAATGGTTGAGCTATAACTCCTATTTTACAGCCTACCTAGGTTGTGAAACCTATGGTTGTCACTTTTGTTTAATTAAGAGATATTTGTTACCACCTCCTAGTAGCCTGAGACTCATCTGGTCAGTACTTAATCTCCCTTAAAATATGTAAAATTTGCAGTTTCTGCCTTTAAAAGCCCCACTTAACTTCCCCTCTGGGTTGAGAGATCTTTGTTGGGCAATAGCCACTCTCAATCACAGGCTTCAGTAAAGGACCTTTTCTCAATGTATGGCACAAACCTGGTTGTAGCCCATTACAAGGAAGGAGGAATTTCCATATAACTGGACTGCAGACAGAAGGGAGTGTCTAAGGTTTCTGTGACTAGGAAAGGGAAAGTATGGTAGACTGGTTAAGAATAACACCCAGATATTGTATGGAGCCTGGCTCCATACAAATCCAGCAGTTAGAAACTAGGGGTGGATTAGAATGGATAAGGGCCTGGTGAGAGGCCTTAATCATTTACACCAACTGGGCTACAGATATCTGCCAAGAATGGATGAGACCCAGGAAAATGCCAAGGCAAACTATCCTGACTCCAAGAGGTAGACAGGTATAGTCATTAGATAAGCATGCTTATGAACTATTCCCTTCCTTCCTTCCTTCCTTTCTTTTTCTTTCTTTCTTTCTTTCTGGTTGGTTGTGGGGCTTGAACTCTGGGCCTAGGCACTGTCCCTCAGCTATTCAGCTCAAGGCTAATGCTCTACCACTTGAACTACAGTGCCACTTCCTGTTTTCTGAGTGGTTTATTGGAGATAAGAGTCTCACAGACTTTCTTGCCTGAGCTGGCTTTGAACTGTGATCTTCAGATCTCAGCCTCCTGAGTAGCTAGGATTACAGGCATGAGCCACCATGCTCGGCTGAACTATTTTCCTTTGACCTCCCAGCTTTAGTTACTTTTGAAGGAACAAGTACGAGTGATACCACTTAGGATCTGACACCATCCCCTCTCGTCTTTTTTTTTTTGGGGGGTCCGGTCGTGGGGCCTGAACTCTGGGCCTGAGTGCTGTCCCTCAGCTCTTCAGCTCAAGGCTAGCGCTCTACCACTTGAGCCACAACACCACTTCCGGCTTTTTTCTTTTTGCTTATGTGGTGCTGAGGAATCGAACCCAGGGCCTCAGGCATGCAAGGCAAGCACTCTACCACTGAGCCGCCTTCCCAGCCCAACCCCTCTTATCTTGAACAGTTCTTCCCACTGCCTCTGGGTGATCCCTTATCACCAGGACAAGCTTTGTCCAGGTGGGTCTGATAAGTCTCTTTACCTTGCTGGCATAATGTCCCACTTGACGTGTTTGCTTGTTGCTGGGATGATGTGTCCCAGTTGGCTAATCCTGTGTTGGAAAGAGATGAATGACAGATTGGGTGAGAGTCGGTACCAATAGATCCTCTTATTTTTTGTTTAAGCAATCAGGAGATCAATAGAAAT